GGTGACCCTCTTTGGCATGGTGACCCTCTTTGGAAGCATGTGGTGACCCTCTTTGGTGTGGTGACCCTCTTGGGGACCGCATGGTGACCCTCTTAGGGACTGTGTGGTGACCTTCTTGGGGACCGCGCGGTGACCCTCTTTGGCATGGTGACCCCCTCTGGGAGTGTGTGGTGACCCTCTTTGGCATGGTGACCCTCTTTGGAAGCATGTGGTGACCCTCTTTGGTGTGGTGACCCTCTTGGGGACCGCATGGTGACCCTCTTAGGGACTGTGTGGTGACCTTCTTGGAGACCGCGTGGTAACCCTCTTTGGCATGGTGACCCCCTCTGGGAGTGTGTGGTGACCCTCTTTGGCATGGTGACCCTCTTGGGGACACATGGTGACCCTCTTAGGGACTGTGTGGTGACCTTCTTGGAGACCGCGTGGTAACCCTCTTTGGCATGGTGACCCCCTCTGGGAGTGTGTGGTGACCCTCTTTGGCATGGTGACCCTCTTTGGAAGCATGTGGTGACCCTCTTTGGTGTGGTGACCCTCTTGGGGACCGCATGGTGACCCTCTTAGGGACTGTGTGGTGACCTTCTTGGGGACCGCGTGGTGACCCTCTTTGGCATGGTGACCCCCTTTGGGAGTGTGTGGTGACCCTCTTTGGAAGCGTGTGGTGACGCTCTTGGGGACTGCGTGGTGACCCTCTTTGGCATGGTGACCCCCTTTGGGAGTGTGTGGTGACCCTCTTTGGAAGCGTGTGGTGACCCTCTTCGGCGCAGTGACCGTCTCTGCCACAGTGGCCATCATCTCCGGCGCAGTGACTGGCTCCAGGGATGGGGTGCAGGGCCTGTGCACAGGGACACAGACACAAGCGTGCGTGGCAGGGGGAAACCAGGCAGAGGATGAACTCCTCTGGCCTTGCAGGGCTGAAACCAGCCAGCCTCCAGGCGCAGGCGAGGTTTCTGCTCCCACAGGCTGAACTGCGTGTTTGCTGAAGCAAAAAAAGCCCAGAGACTCACCAGCAATGTAAGGCAATGGCTCTCGGTGTCCTGGGATCTGCCACGCTGGCGACGACAACAAGAAATTAATCACCCAAAAGGTGGCTCCAAAACCACAAGTGTTTGAAGCGGGGCGTGGCTGGCTGCCAAGGAGATTTTTTTCCCCAGAAAGATATTTGGGAGAATTTGCAGCTGGTGGCTAGGAATGAGCAGTTAAAAGGTACCAGGCCCCAACAGAGCTGCCAGCCTCACCAAGAGGAGTAGCGAGGAGAACTCAGAAGTGCTGCTAGGAGTTTTCCATGGTGCGTGCAGCAGCAGTTTCATGTAACCCGAGGATCGAGAAGAGGAATCATGGAATGGCTGAACGCCTCTGCAGAAGGGATTGCTCAGGGAAAGGCAGCAAAACGGTGCAGCACTCCTCCTGAGACGCCAGGAGCAAGAAAATGAGCTGCAGTAAATGTGAGGACCAAAAGGAGACCTCCCCTTCACCCACCCCAGCAGCAGAGTGCCAGAGTGCGTGGGACAGGCAGCTCCTGCCCAGCTGTTTTCACACGGATAGTGCCTGTCTGCAATGCTGCGTTAACAAAAACAAACTGGGAATTGCATCTTCTAGCTGTGCAGTTTCATTGCCTTTCTGAAAATCTTTCTGAAATCCAACAGGGGCAGAGAAATCCCCGGGGAAGAAAAAATCCCTGACAGATCTTTCCCAGTGCCTGCTGGTCTCCGCTCGCTGATGGAGATCGTTAATGTCTTGATGTAGGCACCGCCACCAGCTGCCAAAGGAGCACGTGGCGAGTGACGTGAGTTCCTTGGCCAAGCCAAGCAGCCAGCTGGCCAAGGAAGCCAACTTTGGGTGAAGATGTGCCCTTCGCAATGTTGGGCTGTGCACACAGTTGATGGGACTTTGTCCTGTCCCCATCCTACATGGGACACAGGCATCTGGGGGTGGTCTGGACAGTGGGTATGACAGTCCCGTTGCCTTCTGCATTACCTCCTGCAGGGTGCTCAGCACCCAGTGGCCTCCGAGGCACAGCAAGCTCAGAGCATCTGGAAGCAAATGCATGTTTGGGCTGGTCCCGAGCATGTGTTTAGGGCACCGTGACCGCACTCTCTTCCCCCATCCTTACTAGGAAAGTGAGCAGCACTGGCATGTCGACCAAAACCCCAGCCTGCAGCTGCAAGAGCCCGTTGCTGCAGGGAGGCGAAGCAGAAGTGACTTGGGCGGTTGCTGCGTGGCGTGTTGCTTCCCGTGGCACAGCCAGCCCCGTCCTGCTCAGGAAATCACGCAGCGGGAGCAAGGGCAGCGCCCGGGAGCCTGCCTTCGGGTGCCCCCCAGCCCCAGCCGCGCGGGTCTAAGCGCAGGCGGGACGGGCTGCGGAAG